ATCATCTGAGCGTACTGGCGGGGACTGCACGCGTCCTCGTAGTTGATGCGGCCCGGGGGGATCCCTTGAAGGCGCTCGAGCTCGTTCAGCGTCATGAATCGGTGCTTGGCAAAGATCCAGAAGCCCCCACCGCCAGACCGGTTGCGCGTCAAACACGGAGCGTACCCCCAGCCGTATTGCGGCGACCTGGTCTTGCCGCAGTCAAGCTCGGCGATGAGCATGTTGGTCTTGGCGAATATGTCTTGATGTTGAGACAGTTTGTCCACCAGGCGGGTGAAGTTGTGGATCTGGTAGTCATGGACTGGCAAGGTGCCGAGCTTGTCCGAATGCTTGTCCAAGATCTGTTCGATTGGCGTGTATGGGATCTCGCTCGGCCAACTCGTGTGCACATTGGACTTCTTGGACAGCACTCCTGTGATGTACAATCGGCGCCGTGATTGCGGCAAGCCACCGACCTTCAACGTGTCGAGGACGGACATGCTCACAGTGTACGCGGGGGTACCGTCGGGGCCTTTGAGGCTGACGAGAAAGTTCAAGATGGCATTCAGCTCCTCCTGGAACCTCTGGTGAGTCAGGGCCTCAACGTTCTCCAAGACGAACACCGTCGGTAGCTTGGTCTGGATGTAGTTTAGGGCGAAAAACACCACGATGCCTCGGCCTTGAGGATCTGCAATCCCCGCGTGGATGCCCTGCACAGAGAACGGCTGGCAAGGGAATCCGATGATGTACAAGTCCACCCGCGGGACCGCCGCGTTATCGCGGGTGGTTATGTCTCCATAGAGCACGCACAAGTCGGGGTGGCTGGCAATGATAACCTTGCGCGTGGCGAAGTCAATTTCCGATGCGAACACGTGCACAATGGAGTTGCCAATGCCGAGCAACTCCAAGGCGAGCTTAGCAGTGTCGATGCCCGCGCAATCACTGCCGAACAGAATCTTGCCATCCGTTTCGCCCGTCAAGACCACCCTCTCAAGATCAATGTCCCGGAGAACGACGACATCTGGGGCCTTCCACTTCTTGCCGGCGCCGCGCGAGTCTGAGACGGCAGGCTTCCTTGTCGTGACCGGCGGCGCCATCGAGCGCTTGGACTTCTTGATCGGAACAGCGGCTGCTGGCGACTTCCGAACGAACTGCGCCGGGCGCCCGTTGGCCTTGGGCTTCGGTGCCGCCTTGGCCTTGGGCTTCCGCTGCTGGGGCGGCGCGTCTATCACGAGCATGGACCAGTCGTCCATGGTATAGACTGGGCGAGCTCTCAGTCCAAAGCCCGCTAGGGTAGAGCCAAAACGGGCCACGTCCATCGTCGCCATCACGCATAACCATCATCACCATCATCGATATTATCATCATGATCGCCGTCGTCGTTCGTTGCATGGCGTTGCCATCGTCGTCGTCGTCGCGAGTGCAGTTTTTGGGCTCTCGGGCACCCCCCGAAGCTCCCTCCTCCTCCTGAGCCCCCTCCCCCTCCCCCTCCTCCCCCTCCTCCTCGGACACCCAGCGGAGGATGGCCCTCGATCCTCGAACCTCCTCGCTCTTCGGTCCTCTCGCCCCCGTCCCTCCTCGGAGCAGTGGCGCCCCTCCTCGGAGCAGTGACGTCTGTGAGGGGCTCGTCACACGATCAGAAGAAGTCCGAGCAATGGTCGGAGGAGAGCCGTTTGAGACAACGGCAGTGATACAACGGCGGCCCAAATCCGCTCAGAATCGTTCCCCAGGAGGAGGGGGAGGAGGAGGGAGGAGGGAGGAGGAGGAGGTAGGAGGATGAGGAGGAGGAGGAGGAGGAGGGAGGAGGGGTCCCCGCAGGGCTTTTTTCCCAACCATCCTGTGGTGTTGGGTCCTCGTTTTGAAGAGACAGCGCCCCGCGTTCCCACCTTCTTCCCGCTGCCCCCTCCCTCCTCCCATCTTCATCACTTCGTCTTAACAGCTTCGGAAATTACACGGATGGAGGTCGCTTTCCCAACCACCCTGTGGTGTTGGGTCCTCGTTTTGAAGAGACAGCGCCAGTCGGGCTGGCTGGTTCGGCCTCGTTTAACGTTTGTTGGCTGGTTCGGCCACAGGGTTCGCATGCTCCCCAACACCCATTTTGGGCAATCAGCCTTAGAAATATCATCCGTTGTTACGGATGGTCGTGTCGAAGTCTTCTGAAGCTGGGCGGGGGTGGAGTATGGGTCAGCCGAAGCAGCTGAGGGTGGATGGGTCAGCCGAAGCAGCTGGCACGGATTATGCCTTAGAGGAGATGGCGGAGAAGAGGAGGCGGACGAGAGGAGAGGATGCTCTTGTTCTGCACACGATGGCCAGGGAGGCGGAGGGGAGGAGATGAAATGAGGCGGTGGAGTGGAGAGGAGAGGAGGGAGGGAGGAGGGGCGGAGGGAGGAGGGAGGGAGGCAGAGGAGGATGCGGCATTGATTCAAACTGACTAGTAGGTAGGTAGGAGGAGAAGGATGATGAGGAGGAGGAGGAGGAGGGGGAGGAGGAGGAGGAGGAGGGGAGGGAGCCCAGCACACCTCGCGTTTCCTGGGGTTCCGCTTAAAACCGCCCCACCAGCAAAATCTTGTCCTCTGGGCGTCCTGTCCGGTGTTGGTCCTCCTCCTCCTCCTCACCCTCCTCCTCGTATAGCCATTTGGGCTTTGTTTTTCAGAGCTGCGAACCTCGACGGGTTCCTGCTCGCGCCCCGGCGGGCTGCGCGCCTGCGAGCCTCCGCCGGCCCGGCGCGCGACGGGTTCCTGCTTGCGCGGCGCGGCCTGGGGCCTGCGACGCGCGACGACGGAGCCTTCGCCGATGGAGGTGTTCACCAGCAAGCACAAGAACTGCATCGACGACGTGGTCTACTTCCCCCTAGTGTCCTATCGCTTCCGGGAGGACTGGCTGGTGAAGAAGTGCAACCCCTCCTCGGTGAAGAAGTTCGGGGTGTTCTTCCGAATGTTGTTCATGCGCGACGACATCACCTTCCCCGCGATGGCGTCGAAGGAGTACCTAGAGCTGGTGTGTGCGTCTCCGGAGGACAAGGCCTGCAAGCAACAGCGTCGTGGCGCGGTCAGGCGCTTCGCCAGCTGGTGGGAGGACGGGGGTGGCAGCAAGCTGTGGCGTGACAGGGCGACCGTCTCTGAAGACCTCTGGCCGAAGTTCGGCGACGAAGGCTCCTGGAACCTTATGGGCCCCCGTGCGCGGACCAGCAGGACAGCGTCGCCAGCGCCGGCGTCGCCAGCGCCGCCAACGCCGACCAGGAGCGAGGGCGCCAAGAATGAGGGCAGCGGGACGGCTTCGACGGCGCGGCCTCCGCCCACGCCGCAGCAGGCGACTCGGGGGCCTCCGCCCACGCCGCCGCCGGCGACGCCGTCGTCGACGGAGTCGTCCGATTCTTCTTCGGACTCGGAGTCATCGGAGCTCTCGGATTCTCCGAAGAAGACTTCAGGGGCGGCGGAGGCGCCGCCGTCGCCTCCAGGTCCACCGGCGCCACCGGCGCCATCGGCGCCACCGGCGCGCGCGGCGCCAGCGGGCAGCGGGCGCCCGCAGTCCCAGGGCCCGGCGCAGATCCTTGCCTACAAGCTCCTGCACGACGACCTCCAGCACCTCGGCGCTGAGTTCGTGTCCATCAAGATGGGCATGATGAAGGAGGTCTTCAACAGCGAGGAGCGCTTCCAGTTGTGGCGCCGTACGTGGCCGAGTGTCAAGGAGTCGCGCGAAGAGATACAGGCCGCGCTCAAGCACCTCGAGAACTTGTACGGCATCACCGAAACGTTGAAGGAGAAGCACTACAAGTTCGGGCAGATGGCGCTCGCGGGCAGGCTGGTGCACCCCAGCATCATGTGCGACAATCAGCGGCCCGCGCAGCCTCCGCCGTCGAGCGCGCTGGCGGGCCCGCCAGGCCCGTCGAAGCTCAAGAAGCGGAAAACCGACGCCACTTCGAGCTCTGCGGGCGTTTCCAAGAAGAAGCGGAGCGTCTCGTGGAGCGACGGTATTCAGACAGGCGACGACAAGGGCCCGACTCTCGAGCAGAAGTGGAGCGTGGCCAGCCTGAAGAGGTGCGAGCCGCTCTGGTACGCTCAGCCGGGGTCTCATGTGCCGTGCGATAGGTGCCCGGCCTACGTCTCCGGAAGCGTTGGTACTTTGGTGCCAATAGGCTCGAGGTCACAATTCGCCTCCGAAGAGTTCCTCTGCTCCCAGTGCAGCGCTCCAACAGCAGCAGCGCAATAGCCCTGGCGCCAGACGGTTCCGGAGGAGGCGGCGAGGAGGAGGATGAGGAGGAGGAGTAGTTCGTTCAGACATGATTCAGGTAATTCAACAGCCAGGGCAACGGCGTCGGGTTTCGCCGAAAAATCGTATCGTCGTCCTCTTCTCTCCTCCTCCTTCTCCTCATCCGTCCGCCCCCCCCCCCCTCCTCCTCCTCCTCCCACGGGGGCCGAGGAGGAGTGAGCTCTTGGGGCTCCTTTGGGAAAGGGGGTCTGAGAGGTCTCTTGGGGCCGTTGTAGGCGCCGCATGGCTCAAACAAGGTGGGGGAAGTACTTAATTCAGCTCCCCCCCGGAGGCTCATCATCAGAGAGGGGGGAAGCGGGGAGGTGGAGGAAAGGATGCCGTTTTTCTGCACGCGATGGCCGAATCAGCCAATGTTAATCACAAAGCGTGTTGCCAGCACTCGTTGGCGTTGGCGCTGGAGCTGCTGGCCCGCCCCGCCCACGAAGCGCTCTGGCAACATGGGGAGCGCAAAGAATATGGACAGTACACACCAGGCTGATTGATGTGACAAGATGCGCACATAGGGGTTGCCACGCGGCGCACACATGCTGGACTCGGGCGGATCCGCATGGCGTGCTCCATAGCCCTCTTGTACTTCTTGTAGTTCCACCCGTCGTTGCACCGCTCGTTGCTGGCCCACGTGCTCCACGGCTTCCAGTCACCACTGCGGCGTGAAAGTTCTTCTGCCATACCCTGCACCTGGGCCTCCAACGCGCGGAAGTTGTTGTGAAGCGCCTCGTCCTGTTCTCGACGTTGTCGTAGAGCGTCGCTGACTAGCACCTGCTGCTGTAGCCGTTCCTGTGTTGCGCGAAGTCGATCCTCCTCAGCGCGAAGAGCTGCAATGCGTTCTTCATGTTGTCGAACTTGCCCAGCAGCTCGTTATTCTGCTTCTTCTTGCTGTCGGATGCGTTCTTCATGTTGTCGAACTTGTTCAGCTCGTTCTTCTGCTTCTTCTTGCTGTCGGATGCGTTGTGCATGTTGTAGAACTTGCTCAGCAGCTCGTTCTTCTGCTTTTTATTGCTGTCGGATGCGTTCTTCATGTTGTCGAACTTCCTCAGCTCGTTCTTCTGCTTCTTCTTGCTGTCGGATGCGTTTTTCATGTTGTCGAACTTGCTCAGCTCGTTCTTCTGCTTTTTCTTGCTGTCGGATGCGTTGTGCATGTTGTCGAACTTGCTCAGCTCGTTCTTCTGCTTTTTCTTGCTGTCGGAGCTCCTCCGCATCGCGTTGCGCTTTAGCGTCTGCGGCTGCCAGTTCTTCTCGGTATTTGATTTCGAGACGGCGTGCTTCTTGACGACGCCACTCATCATCGTCATCATCGCGTTCACGCTGGGGGACAATCGGTGGCGAACCCCACGTGGACGTTAATGGCCTTGTAGATGATGCTAGCCATTTGTCCAGCTCCTGTCGGACGCGCTCCACCGTTGTGCCAGAATATCGGCGATGCGGTGGGCCTTGCTGATCGAGCCAGTCCCACACGCCAGGATCGTCCACATGCGGCAGCTCAAAGAGACGGGCGACTTCTTGCCACGAGCCAGCTTCGCACATGCACTCGCGCAAGCTTTTTGTCATCCACTTGTTATTCATGACTGGCCTCAGTTCAGTGAACATCACCAAGAAAACAAAAAAAAACCAAAAAAAAAAAAAAAAAATAAAAAAACAAAAAAAACACCAAGAAGCCCTTCTCTTCGACGATGTTCGCCCACATGTTGTCATCGTCGTGCACCATCGACCAAAGGCATTCGATGTCGTTGTCGATGTGGTGCGTGAGTCCCAGTCTGGAAGCGATAGCGCCCTTGCCCTTCTCGCCACTCTTCCGCTCGCACAGATGTAGGTGGTTCAGCGGCATGCCCATCTCGACGAGCCCTGTCTGCTTGACGAAGCGCACGGGCCACGCCTCAACGTGACCGTGCTTCTTGTGGTACGACCACCACGAGCCACGTTGGGTGCGACTCACGATATACAGGTTCTCCAGCCCATGCACCATGCCGAACAACAAGGCGAACGCGAAAAAACCTCGCGTTACTGCCACGTAGATGTCGTCGCCCTCTGGCTTCTTGTCATCACCGGTGTCCCTGGTGCTCATGACGTCGCCAAGATCGACGCCAACTTTGACCGCGGCGCGTGCCATTCTCCAACGGCTTGCGCTCCGAGATCAGGTCGACAGCCACAATCCCCCGAAGCGCAATCTCCAGCGCACAGAGTCACGCAATCTCCAGTGCTTCGAAGTGGGCACGCCACCATATGAAGTTGGGCCGAAGGGGGCGGCCCGCGGGATGGCCTAGGGGCGGCCCGCAGGATACGATTTGAGCCAAAACGGCAATGGAATGAATGGAGGATGAGGTGGAGGAGGAAACGTGAGATGTTCTGAACATGCTGGCCAGCGTGGGCCTAGGCGTTTCGACAGGCGGCCGCGCGGTGGCGACCCCAGCGCGGGCGTTCGAGGGTGAACTCGGAAAGCCGCCGGTCGTCCAAGGTTGAACGATCGACGCAGTGTCAGGATCCAACACCGACTTCATCGCAACATCCAGGTGAACGCCGACGCCTTGAACGATCGACGCGGTGTCAGGAACCCTCCGTAGCGGTTTTGGCTCAAGCCTACAGCCACGCCCGACAGCCCAAGCCCGAAGCGCCCGACAGCCCGCGCGACAGTCATGCCGAACGGCGGCGGCGGCAAGGGCGCAGCCGAGGCCGAGGCTGCCCAAGAGAAGACATCGCCGAAATCGTTCGTCGAGATGAAAAGGTGGCGTGGGAGGGACATGCGCGAGGGATGGCGTGGGGTCCTCGTCGGTTTGAACTGGGACGGCGATCAGGTGGAAGAAAAGTGGCGCTGGACGCCGCCCCCCTCCAGCTTGATCGAGGCCGAGGCGAGCCCCCTCGACGACCCCCTCGACGAGCACATCGATCCGAAGACGAAGACGAAGGCCATGCCGAAGAAGAAGTCGAAGGCCATGCCGAAGAAGAAGAAGCCGAAGGCCATGCCGAAGAAGAAGTCGAAGGCCAAGCCCAAGGCCGCCGCGAGGGTGAAGCCGAAGGCCAAGCCCAACAAGGCCGCCGCGAGGGCCAAGCCCAAGGCCCACAAGTGAGGCCCGTCGTGCGAGTGCGAGTGCGCTCGAGTGCTAGCGCCGAAGACGTGGGCGTCGAAGTCTCCCTTCTCCCTCGGACCTGTCCTCCGACTGTTCAGGCGAATGTTCCTCATCCTCCTCCTGAATATCCTCGCATCCTCTTGGGCTCTTCAGGATGCGACTCTCGTCCCCCCCCTGCCGATGGAACGCCAATTAGTCTCCCAGGTCGCGTTCTGGCCAGAATTTCGACGCGAATCCAGCCGTGGCGACGAAGGCTCTCCAGCAGAACGAGCAGCGGCATCGATCGTTACAGGGGCCACTGGGAGTCCCATCGGCAGGGCGCGAGGACCTCAGGGCCTCGGGCGGCGCCGCCCGAGGCCCTGGGGTCCTCGCCGCCGCCGCCGCCGTCGCCGCCGCCGTCGTCGCGGTCGTCATCGTCGCGAGTCGTCGCCGTCGCCACCGTCGTCGTCATCGTCGTCGAGTGCGTGCGTCGTCGCCGCCCATCTCCTCCTCACCCTCCTTCATCCTCGCCATCCCCCCCCTCGCCCTCCCCCCCGGCGGGCGCGCGGCGCGCGCGAGGCGCCTCGCCGAAGCTCTCGGCGCGCCTCCTGGCAGGCGGGCCGGAGGGGAGGGGGCGGCGACGACGACGACGAAGACCGTGGGAGGGGCGGGAGGGGAGGGGAGCGGACGACCAGGCAGCACGAGCGACTGCAAGGAGGGAGATGACGATGAGGACGACGACGACGAGGATGAGCAGGAGGATGAGGAGGGTAGTGACGTCACCCAAGCGGCACGTCATTGCTGCGAAACGTCACAGCCAGCGGCACGCAACTCGCCCTGGCCCCCGAAGCGGCGCGGGCTGCCAGCAGGCACGGTCGCACTCCAAGACCCTGCAGTGTGCCATTGTGCTGCTGGCAGCGGCGCCATTATCAAATGGAAGCGCCCGCGGCCTCGCTGATCGGCCACGGGGCGCCTCGGACTGCAGACGAGCGTCGTTTCCTCCTCCTCCTCCTCCTTCTCCTCCTTCTCCTCCTCCTCCTCCCGGCGGCGCGCGCTCGGCCAGGCCCTCAGCGAGAACGCTCACTACCGCCGCTAGCCAGACTCGTCCACCACCGCTCAACACCATCACACCTCCTCTTCGACGTCGGAGACGGAGTCCGCACCATCTTCACCCTCAGCGGCGTCATCCTCAGCCTTCTCCTTCTTGCGCCTTTTGGCAGCGGGGCCGCCAGCCAGCGCGCGGATGCGATCCACCAGTGCCGAGCGGTCCATAGGGCCCTTGCTGCCACCGCCGCTGGCGCCGCTGCCACCGCCGTCCTTGCCGCCGTCCTTGCTACCGCCGCTGCTGCCGGTCTTGTTCTTCGCGCCCTTCTTCTTGTCGGCCGTGTCCGTGCCGCTCTCCTCGGTCTTAGCCTTCTGGCTGTCGACGACGACGGCCGCCAGCTCCGAGGAGTAGAGCTGCTTGCAGCCCTCGTTCAACGATTCCTTCATGGTCTCCTTGAAGAGATGGTCGTACAAGGCTTCGACGTTCTCCTGGTTGAAGCAGATGGCCACGTATGGGATCTTATTTTTTATGCAGCACATCGCCCTGGCGCCATCCCCGGGAGTGAGGTCGACCACCGCGCGAAGGTTGAAGTTGTGGATCCATTCATCCTGCAGGGTGGGCGGCGGTGCCCACCAGAACACCTGCTCTTCGCTCTCCGGCGTGATGGCCTTGGCCTCCTCCTTCTCCGCCTTGCGCTCCTCCTCCTCGTCGCGGCCGGGTCCGCGGCCACCGTTCGCAATGGTGTCCTTCTTCGTGATGATGGTCGCCTTGTGCTTGCGCTTCATCGTCCAATGGCTCGGGTCGCTCCAGGACCTCCAGGCGCAACTGATGTGCTCCCCGACAGTGGTGCCGCTCAACGCGAGCCTGGCCTTGTCCTCGATCTCGATCGCCTTGCCGGTGACGATGTGCATCTTCTCGGCCTGGAGCGCGCCAGCCGTGGTTCTGCGCTTGATCTCGAGGCGGTTCACCACGCTTTCCTCCGAGTAGATGACCGTCACTGTGCGCTTGGACTTGTGGTAGGGCTTGTTGCTCTCGTCGACGAACTTGTTCATGAGCGTCGTCTCCTGCCCAGTCCCCCCCCCGTCGCACACGAAGAACGCGAGCTCCGCGGGCAAGTGCTTCGGAGCATTATCCTGGTGCGGCTATCCCCCCGCACCTGCCCTTGGCCCCCCCAGGCGAACGCCTTGCCCCAAGGCGGGCAGGGCGAGCGCCCGGCCAGGGCCCAGGGCAACGCGCTGACGATAGCACTCCTGCTCCTCAGGATCCGCAGCAACCGGGGCCGCCTTGATGGCCGCGCAGATGTGCTTCTCCATGTGCGCGTTCCTCAAGTAGGGCGGCCTCGCGTTCGGCCGCGCGTCGCCTTGGCCGGCGACCTTCTGGTCGTAGAACACACCGATGTACTTCTTCGTCTTCGACACCTGCGGTTTAAAGCCCTCGTGATAGGCGCTGCTCTCCCTGATGAGCGTCGCCAGCTCGGTCTCGGAGGCAGGCTCGGGAAACCTGAGTCTCCGACGCCAAACCCACCAGCCCTCTGGGCTTCCACAGCCCCTCCTTCCCTTCTGCCAAGATCGCCCAAGATGGCTCCAAAAGG